ATTTTCCGGCAAAGCAGCGTTATTTCATTAAGGGTGTGGGGGGAAGGGAAGAGTGTTCTTGTATCGCCTCCTGCACCTCTCTCTGCCTCGTAAACCTCAGGGCCTCAACAGACTTTCACTGAGAGAGAAAAAGCAAAGAGAATCTTAAGACACACCTGCTCCTCACCTCCGCCTCCTTTTCTTTATATCTCACTTGGTCTCACATTAGAGGGCTAAGATTGCTCTGAAAGTTTCCGATCCCTCTTCAAGCATTTACACATCACTGAATGTTACTGTTAGTGCAGACTGGGGTCCGTTAAGTCATTCTGTTTTTGGTAGGGTAAAGAAAATCAAAATGCATCTCTTTCTCCCCGATGCAATGCTCGCATTACGTTGCGATAGATGTGAAAATCTTCTCTTTTTTTGTGCCCTGTGACTCCCAATTGATGCTTCAATGCAACTTAGTGAAAACTGGATGTTGTTACTGTGCTACACCACATCCAGAGTCTTGTTTATCGACAGGGACAAAGATCAACATGCAGCTTAGATACACATTTGCATTTGAATGAATACGACACTGATTGCCTGTTATCCCCGTGTGTGTATATTTACATTTACTATTCATATTGACTATGATGTCAGGGTTTTCCTTTGTTTCAGTAGTCCAGTTGATGAACCATTCAGTTTGTAGACACTTTGTTCAAGTGCTGTTTCTGGAGGCGCGAATCATCTGAGGATTTGACTGATTTAAGAAAAAAGAAAAAAAAACACACACATTTTGAGTATTAAGCTTTTGAACACACTGAACAGTATCATTGTGCCGCATCGAGTAAACCATGCATTTTGAGCTATGTTTTAAGAACCTGTTGCTCATTGAACACAGTGGAGCACTGGGGTTGTGACTCCAATGGATGGATTTTATGCCAAGGAAAACAAGTCCAGCCCCACATTCATTCATTTTAAAGACTATGGACAAATGGATGCATGTAATGGATTTAATGCAGAGTGAGTAGACTCTTAGAGACATACCTTTTTGGATTTTAATGTGAAGCCAAAGGAGTGAAGTATTGTCTCCTGGCCTTGTGCTTTGGAGGTTTGCAAAGACTGGATTCTGTTGAGAACGGCGACAAACAAAATTCACTCCTAAAAGACTTTGAATGGATTTGATACCAAGCCACGAGAGGAGGTGGAAATATGGTTGAGATTCTGGACTTCTTCTTGTTGTGATCACCATTTTTGCCCATCACCACGTAGAAAGAAGTAAGCTCAGTAGTAAACAATGGAAAGTACAAATCTCACGTGTGTCTGCTAAAGAGAGAGCTGAACATTTTGGGAAATGCATGCTTTCTGATGCTGAGGATTGATATGAGAACGTCTAAATTTTGGATTGTAATCAAAGGTTACTAATTATTACTTTTGTTTATTTAACAAAACATCTTTAAGAAGTGTAAAAATGAACTGTTATATCAATCTTCTAGTCTCAGTCTCAGCACAAAAAACAAATAACTGCATTTCCTAAAATGTCACGAATGCTTTAAAGCCAGGTTTTTGCCTTTCACCCGAAATTTAGAAATCCGAATTCACATTAGAGAAATAAATAGATCTAGTGTAGCCCTTTTGGTAGCAATTTGATGATCAATTTAATCAGCTTCAGTATTAGAACTCTCCACTTCTTAAATAAAACGTATGCCTTCTTTTTATCCTGAGGGGAGAAATGCTAAGAAGGCCACGGACTATTAATGCTAAAGATGGAGAAACAAAAAAAGAAGAAGAAAAGATTAAATAAAATGAGTCGCAATCCATAATTTTAACATGTTATTCCACACACAGTTGCATAGAAAACTGAATGAAATCATTTACTTTGTTTATTCTCTGTGTGTGAGTGTGAATCACAAGCGTGTATTTTCTTAAGTGTGGGTGGACACAGTGAGGTCTTCCTGAGACATTCGCATGGTCCCACACTCTGCTGATTGAGCTGTCCACAATGGTACCACAGTCTGTCCACACCTAATGATGTTTATGCTGTCCTTGTCGGTTTAATCTTATTTCATTTTTTTTCCCATCATTTTGTTTGTGAGGATGCAAATGTCACTCAGTTTATATTGTTAAAAAAAGAAAAGAAAAAAAAGAACATGACCTTGTTGGGTTGTTTGCAATATGGCTCAGATATCTGTTGCTGCTAAGCCCACATGTCATGAAAAATGGACAACACAGCAAGTTTGATTTTTGACTAAAATTAGGAGTGATATGCAAATGGATAGTAATGGTGGTTCAGTTTGAAAATCATAAGAAATAAAACAGTATGTCATCAAAGCCTATTGAAAGGATTTTCACCTTATTTGAGCCACTGACCCTTGATTACTCTCAAACTAAGTAAATGATACTAGTCAATTTTTGAGTGTTGAGCTATACAGGATATAGTTTTTAGCAAGATGTGTTACTGTAGGATTTCTCTTTCGCTTCTTTCGTTTATAAATCACCAGTTTACAATAACAGTGTTAATAACAGATATATCAAGGGATTTTCATAGTAATGTAAAGATCCTCCACTTTTAGAGAGAGAAAACCCAAACACAATTCTCTGAGCAGCACTTGGCAAAAGTGGGGAAGAAAAACTCCCCTTTCACAGGATGAGATCTCCAGCAGAACCAGGCTCAGGGAGGGGC